TACATAGCAAAAGTTGTTGAGGTTTTCCACCAGCGTCAGTGAAACACCTTCATGACACCTTTTCAAGTAAAAAAAAAAACACTCTCACCCTTGAAATAAAGAATATACAACTTCCCTAAGCTAGCTAAGTTTTTTCGGGAAAAGTGATAGGGTTTCAGACATAGTTTTTGGCCGCTCCTGGTCGCAGCTCCGTTTTTTTAAAAAAAAAGGGTGGGGTGGGGTGGGGTGTGATAATTACTAGATGAGGTCAAGTGGCTGGCGAAGTTAAGCACGCAAAGAGGCCAAAAGTATTACTAGTCATTCTAACATTAAAGCTTCGATCTTCAATGCCTTTACACATATTCTACTGAGGACCATGAAGTTGGCTGCCAAATAAACCTGGGATTTAATCTCCAAATGCTAGTCTCCTTGACGTCAGCAAAGCTCGCTGCTGCAGTGCCCAATCAGGATAGGGGCGAAAGTTTAGGATTTAAACACTGAGGTCATTGTCTGCTTCATCGCTAAAGTGCGAAGTAATGTAGCCCAGAACATTGTGCGAGGTAGAGGGGGCACTGCTATTACTTAACACACTTAGACCGTACTCACCCATACCAACTCCGTATACTGCTAAGGAGTAATTTGTTTCCAAACTAGAGTTCAGAAAATGTAGAAAAGGTGCCTAAAATAAATCTAGGAAGACAAAGGAAGACAAGTACCATCAGAATAAAATACTTGATTCGGTGCTTCACGCTATTAAGCAGGACACATATCGAAACAAATCTATCAATCTATTCCTCCACGATTCGGGAAGAAGCCCCCACAATCAACCACAGGAAAAATATTTCTACGCGGCCTGGCGGATAGATCACATTTTTCCAACCTGGCGCCCTCCAGCCTGTTTGGACGGCAGTTCCCATCACCATCCCACTCGGATGATGGGAGATGAGGTTCCACCCATATGGCAGGCGCCAGGTAGGGAAAAGCTGGGCGACTTGACTGTCTCGAGCGTGCGTCCCGTTTTGCAAGGAACCCCATGAGTTCGGGGGGGGGGGGGAAACTTTAAACCGAAGTCGGAGGGAAGAGACTCATTTGGAAGTCACGATTTGTACTTCTGCCTTATCTCTTCCCTGCCACCTTCTGAGGCACACAGTTTGGGTCTGAACGCAATGAATCCTATTGAATCAACGAGTCTTGTGTTGGATTCTATCTGGTTGCCACACATAACAGATACCTTCCCTCAGAAAAACTTTTCTTACTAAGTTTTAAATAATTTATATATAGGTGGGGAAGTTTAAATTTAATAAAGGTACACACGCACGCTCGCACACATTAACACGCTTAATGTGTTAATCTGTGTGTGCACGTATTTACATAACTATTCTTGCCTTTAGAGTGTAAATGGAGAAGATAGATATAATTCCTGTTTGTACTGTACACTTGTCTATAAATGAAATGGATTTTATATATTACATTTGCCTATCAGAACTTTATATTGCCTTATTTCACAGTATCCTGTATATATTTGTTCCAATGTCATATATAACCCACAATTGCACACTTGTAAATCTGCTGGAAACGCTCCAGAAGAGATATCAAATTCAAGTTTCAGGTTAGGAATGATTCCAATTCCTCTAACAGTTCGCGTCTCCCTCTCCCACCTCTTACACACACACACAGAGAGAGAGAGGGGGGGGGGGAAATGTTAAAGGGAACGGTATGTATCGGGCCATCTATAGCGAGCCTTGGGAATTATTATTTATTTAGCACATTTTAAGTATGGGTGACAATTCACCCGCGAACGGAAGACGGTTGTTCTTGTTTTAACGAAAGCCCCCTGATGAAAAAGGTTATTCTGTACCATCCAGGGATTCCTCTAACGTATCGCTCTCTGGTGTAAAGAAAGAAGGGATCCTGAAGTTTCAGGATACCATCCAGAAGAATCCAGCGCTGAGATTCCTGAGGTCTAAGCCAAAAGGAGCGGGGAGAGGGAACCAGGGGGAAAACTTGTTAAGGTTATGCCACGAATTCCTTCGAGAGCCAAACAGAGACACCCGGAAGCCGTTCCTGGCTTTAATCCACAGCTTGGCCAGGAAAGCATCCGCAGTCCTAACCGCCCCCAGCCTTGGGAGCCGCAGTAACTTTAGCTAGCAACTCAAGTCGGCTTGTAGCTAAGGTTACATTGGTTGGGTGGATACAGCCCCTCACCTTTTCGGACCTTTCGGCCGGAGACTGGGCGGGTCAAGAAAGGAGCCCGACAGACTGAGGAAGAGCAGAATCTGTTCTTCTAACCGAACTTTGCGCTTGATCAGTCAAAGAGTCTGGCTTTCCCTGCTTCGGGCCGGCAGCAGACGCCCTCGGAACTAGGATCCATCTTCCCTTTCATTTTATACACCTCGATGGGCTTTCACTGCCGGCAGAACTCAGAATGAAAAGAGATTTTATTTTTCTTCAACCCTCCACATCGCTTCGCTCCGGTCCATTTTGTACAATTCGGCTTCCATGGAGGAAGAGGCGGCGGGCAACCAAACACTATTCCTCAGTGGTTCGCGCTAGCGCATTAAATGCTTTAGTCAAGTTTAATTAAGGCTTGAAAGCTCAGTGTTGTCACCCAACCTGATTGCAGGAAAGCCCCGGGAAACTCAGCCAGGAACTGGAGCACCATTAGAAGAGCGGGCGACTTGGGCATGAACCATAAAGTTAGGCAGAGTCTGGGCCAAGTCGAGAAAGGGTTTTAAGCGTTGGTTTATTTTCAATTTCGGTTAAATTTTGCATTGTTTTCAGGAATTTCTCCTTTTTTCCCCTTCCCCTCCCGTTTCCACCACTTGGAGGGGAAGGAGGGGAAGGCATTCAGGTAATGAAATTGGTAACTAAACAGTAATTGAATCAGCATAATTTGCGCACGGAATGCATTTCAAATGCTCCCAGTTTACAAGTAAAGAACTGACGCGCTTTGCTTCCAGCACGCCGCACATTTAGAATAAGGACTTATTTTAAGTTCTAGCAAACAACATGACCGACGAAAGAGGGAAAATTCACGCAGTTTAGGAATCTCGACCCTGGTTACATGTTCAGCAGTTTTCTTAACACCTTTTGCAACAATCACAAGGAATAGGGATGACGCTACAAAATCCTCCCTCCACCCTATCCCCCAAAAAAAAATTAAAAGAAAAAAATTGTTAAGGGGAAATGACCCTTTCAGGTGTCCGTAGTCAATGAAGGGTTGCAGAGTCATTGCACTACGTGATGTCACTAGTGTGAGTGAGTCTTGCCACTTTGAGAATCTTGGACGAGCGTCAAATCTCCAGCCAGATCTCACATTCCTTTTGGATCCACAACTGACCACCGCATAGAGAAGGGATAGTCAGAATGCTCACGTGTTGGTCTTTTATTAAAAGAAAAGACAAAAACGCTTCCAAGATTTTTTTTTTTTAACTTCTAAACTGGCACACGATCCTCCTTTGCGAGGGAGAGGGAGCGAAGGTTACACGAGCAGGTGGATAGCATCCAAGAGCGTTGATTTCCAACGGGAGGGGTTGCCCCCATGTTCACCTGTTTACCCCGAGATGTCCCGAACGAGGCTGAAATTGGGGAACCGCGCCCTCAAGCGCCCAAAGCTTGCAATTACAGGCAGCGGAAAAAAGCTTCCGAAGAAAGGCTTACCCCGGAAGACCCTAAAGAAGCTCATTAGGTTTCTGCTTGTTGGGTGGAAATTACACTCAAGCCTTTTCAGCTCTTGTTCTCTGTTTTCTTCCTGTCCCTCGCATTGCCGTTTATCCGATCTGTAAACCGATGGCTTCCGAAAGAAACCGAACCGGCTCTGGTGATGCAGATCGTTCGATCCATGCAGAGAACTGGATCCACGGGGGGAAAGGAGCTGCAATCTCTATGCCCCAGGTAATCTTGAAGGGGAGTTATCCCCGAGCACTTTCCGACTAGGCTAGTGGAGGATGCTCGGTGGGCTTACCGCGGAATGGTTCATATAAGTAGGATTTATTCTGTGGTGGGCGGGGGAAGGATAACCAACGGGACGTTATTTTCCCACGCCCAAGATTCCCGCTAGTGGAGAACGACTGGGAGGACTTTTCGGAGTAACAACGGAGACCTTTTTCTCCTTCCGGGGGACCATTCTAAAGCCCAAAGGGTGGGGCATGGAGACAAAGAAGCTGTCTTCCAATGATCACACCGAGCAGCATTCTGCCAAATATCAGCTTCCTATTTCTAGTTCCTGGTACGTGTATTGGGTTCTAATTCCCAACACGCCCTCCTAGAATTGCCAAATGATAACTCCCATCATTCCCACCTTGGGCAGGAAGCCTACTGCTCCCATCATTCTCAACTTACGAGGCGGATGGCCAATTGTTGAGAGAAATGGAAGTTATATTCCAGATCATTAGGAAGGCACCGGATCGGGAAGAGTTTCGGACTGTGCGCCGGAGGGAGGGGTCGAAGAATCAGGGTGACAGCGGAGTCATCAGAATGGGCTTGGAACTCAATCCCGCATATTTGCTAAGCCGCCCTGTGATTTTGCCCCCTTTCTTACGTGTGAACGAACAGAAGGTTCAATGCTCAGCTAAAAGAACGTGAGGAGGAAAAAGTTTTACAGAACATGAATCCGAAACACCACCACTAACTGGCAAAATCCTTCCAAGAATCGCTGAGCAGGATTCCTTCCTTCACACTCTGAATCTCCCACACAATCACAAGCCCTGATCAATAAGATTGCAATATCTCTGCCCAGTATCCGTTGTGCGACCCCCCCCCCACTCCAAATGAAAACTCCCTAAGAGCGACCTCCCCTTCCTCAACCTAAACCTTAGACCTTTGAACTTGCAGGAGCCGAACTCTCCTCTCTACCTCAGGGCACGTCCGCGACTGATGGAGGCATCCAGGGATCCGAGAAGTTTGTCTGGAACGTAGGACTTCTCCCCCTGGACCGAGGCCTCCTCTGCTGATACCCCGCCGGCAACCCCGGCTGGGAGAGGAGCGGAGAGAGAGAGAGAGAGAAAGGCGCAGAAACTTACCAGGTACAGCAAAGGTTGCAGCAGAAGCACCGCGTACCAATATGTGGGCTGCATCCTCGCGGCTCAAACTTCCTTCGCGCTGCTCGGGCTCCCTCTCTGTTTCGCCAGAACCATAGATCCACCCGGCATCTACTTTAAAGAGCCAGGACAGCTCGCTTCAGCCTAGGCAAAAATGAAAGGATAAACTCCATGACCACGAGACAAGGTTAGCTGTCGAGTTGAGTGGAAAGGGAGGGGGGAGGGGAGAAGAGATACCCAGCTGGCGAGGAGGGGGGAAGAAGGGGATGCCTCAAAGAGAATTAGTCCATTTGGCAAGAGCGCCGGGAGAAGAGCTTTCCTTGGGCCAAATTAACTAGTTGCGGGCTGACTCCAGAGCGAGAGGCTAAATAAGAGCTGATTTTTTTTTTCCAATGTCCAGCGCTATTGCTGTCTAGGAGGGTGGGAAGAGAGGGCATCCACCAGATCTTTCGCCGCCACCCCGACTCTTCGCGTAGGGCAGGAGTAAAGCTACGCGCTTGGCCAGGAGGGCGCGGAAAGTGGGGGAGGAGAAGGATCAGGAGAGCGACGGGGGAGGCTGAGAGGAGCCCAATCGATTAACCTGGGCTCCCGGATCATGGCCGAGATCAAGCTCAAGTTCCAGGCAAAGGTTTCGAGACAGTGGCTTGAACCTGAGAGGCGCCCAAAGAACCTCGTGCGCGCGCGCGCATACCTCGCTTTCTCCCACAGATCCACCCCCCACCCCCCCCTTTCGGCGCTTCGAAGCTGCTTTTCTGTCTCTGCCTTGTCCTGACCCTCTTGCCTCATTGTTGGTCGTCAAATCTCCCCGCTGTTCGAGTCTCCCCCTCTTCCCTCCCCCCCAGCCCCGAAGGCTCGCGGGGAAAAGGAAAGCGTCCACCTACTGCATGTGGGGTCCGAAAGCAGGTATCGATCTCTGGCAATAGTCCATAGGAAGGAAATCAGCACAGCAATCAAAGCCAGCTACGCGGGCTCGGGTGCTCGGACAGGGTCCCCTCGGCGCGGTTGCTCCATGATATGGGCGGAGATCCCGTGGAAACAGGTGCCGCCGGTTTCGGAAGGGAAGCGCCCAGGGACGGTCACGATGGCAGGAAACTTGCAAGAGGAAGGAGACCTGAGGCTGTCCGGACCGCCCGCGTCTTTTTGCAGCAGCCGCCGCTGCTATTGCCTCCTGGGCGTTCCGAGTGATTTGTCTCTATTAAAAATGACTTATTGGCCAGCAAGTGCCCAGCGATGGTTGCTCTTTAAGTTTCGATAAAATCTATCTGCAAAGACCTTGGCTGATCATCTCTTTAGGGGGAAGGGGAGAGAAAAGGGGGAGGAGAAGTTGAAGGGGGAAGGGGAGGGGAAGCCAGGCGGTACAATGCAAGCGGCTGGGTGGCAGAGCCCCAGAGCGCTGTCCGAATCATTTCAGCTGGAAAAAGGAAGGGGGAAAGCTATGAGACTTTAAGCTGCATCCCAGCCTCTCTCGCCTGAAACTGGCGGCGAATCAGAGTCCTCCCGAGGAACTCTGCAGTGCAGTGCCCTGCCGCCAGGGGACTCTCTTCCGCTCTTTCGCAGGCTTACACAGCCGCCCGCGTTGACGGTGGCCTCCTCGCCTGGAACCACGGGGCGTGGAAACGGGATGCCCTAGCAAAGCGTCAACGTGCCCTTTGCGCCGGGAGACAGAAGAAAGATTGGCTTCGCTTCGTTTCGTTCTCTCTCTCTCTTTCTCTCTCTCTCGCCCCGCCCCGCTTGCCTTGCTGATTTCTGGCTCCCTCTTCTTTCTAAGTAGCAATTAATATCCCATGAATATGAATAATGATGTCGCCCTTGGCTCCCGAACAAACAATAAAGCATTTGGAAAGGGAAGCTTCAAGTCTTCCGATGCTTCCCTGGAGGGGGCTGGGAGATGGCTAGAGCAATGAGCCGCGAAGTCTGGTGCCCGAGATAAGAAAAGTTGGGCGGCGTGGCATGGCATGGCGAAAGCCGCCTCAGATGCAAAACCCGCCCTTTTCCGGGGCGGGCTGAAGCTGGAGGGTGGACAGCTGGGGCTATTTCCTTCACTCCTATTAGAACAATAACTTCGGAATAGTTACTTCGGTAATTGCCTTGGGCTGCCACGTTTGAGATTTGAACATAGGCGTTACACAATGGATTCAGGATCAGCCCACTCTCTGCTGGGCCCTTAGCATGCAGACCTCCCGTTCTCCATCTGTCAGTACAAAAAAAGTTGTTTAATATATCAGCTGCTCCCTAACACCAGTTTACCATAGTTCCCAGTATTGATTTATATAGCCCAATTGCAGACACACACACTTTTGGTATCCTATTGTGTGCAAGATTGAAAAATGCAGGATCATGAATTGGGGATTTGAGGATCTAATATTAATTAACCTAAAGTAAAAATAAGGGAGAGGAGACTTAGTAAATCTATTGTCAATAATCTTAACTAAGAATTTCATAGATCCATTCTGAAAGGATAATTTTTCCTTTTGCTGTTTAGGTTTAGCAAAAAAAATAAGATTTAGACTGCAAACCTTTACAGACTGATCTAGAATTGCAAACCATTCAATTCAATGAGGTTTATTTCTGGGCCGATTTTGCAATGCAAATGTGCTACAATATAGAACATTAACTGAGCAGCTAATAATACCAAACACATCTTGCAGATGCTGTAATGAAAAAAGGCTACTACACCCAGCTTGTAAGTTACCTAATTTTAGAGTGTTTTCAGGCAGCTTTTATTTCAGCTATCAGAACTCTGTTTTCTAGTGTTATAAAAGCAATCCTAATTTAAAGTGCATTTGCTAGAGATGAAGAAGTGAATTTGCAAGAGATGAAGACATGAATTTGTGTTCATCAACATCAATTCACAGATAGATGGGTCACTATAAATTGAACACTTTATACATCAGGATTGTCCTAGAATAACAGAGATACAGCAAACAAATACACCCTAGTTTAAATCCTAGGGTGTCCCAGTTGAAAATAAGGTAAATTCTCCCAAAGTTGAAATCATTCTCAAGTAGTAGTTCATTTGAGAGCTGTTTTTGCTTTAGGCTGGATCCTCTTTGTCTCTGTGATCCTCTGTGATCCTCATAGAAACCAAGTTCATCACCAAGTTAACTGTTTAAAATATTTTCTTCCTGGGTTCTTGTTCTCTGAGCTTGCTTTCCTTCTTGAAGATATTTTATTACCTAGCTCAATAACATCATCAGTGCATGGAGGGGTGGAGATGCAAGAATAACCTTCAGGTTCCACAGATATTCTTAGAAAATGGAAATCGTGTGTAGTCCCAGTCTAGTGACTGTTTTGGACATATGCCAAGTTCTTGAAAAAAGGGGAGTGGGGATTATAATAACAAAAGATTTGGCTAGAAGGTGAGCACTATTTGTGACTGAGGGCACTCATCATGGCAGTGACTTGGGGAGAGTATCTGCACAGGCCTGAAAAACATTCCCAACTTCTTGTGCTAGGATGTATATCCATGTGCACTTGCACAAAATATTCCAGACTGAACTGGCCACAGTTTCCTCTCTTTTTTTTTCCTTTTTGTCTTCTGTTTTTGGTTCTGTGGTTTCATAGCAAACTGTTTGAGAATATGGAGGGGGTAAAGAAAATGGAGCTCTTCAGAATTTTTTTATTCTCCTTTCTAAAAGAATTTCTGGAGCTCTAACTTCCAGTCTATGCAACTCTGATATTTGGCTGGATAGATTCTAACAAACAGCAGCCCCTCTCATGACTTGCTGACAAAGCCTGTGATTTATCATCTTCCAAAGGAGGAAACGGGGAGAGAGAGAGAGACCAGAGAGACCGTCACCCTATGAATGCTCTAGTCTAGCAGAAAAGAAAAGGATTTCATTTGTCCTGCCAAGTACCTGCTCTCTTGGAACACATCTGGATGATTAATATTGCTGTCTGACATTTTGATACTAATCTCTAAAATACTGTTTCAACTCAGAAGCTTCACTTTAGAACATTGCAATAAAAAGCTGATTGGTGATTAAATACCTTTAGATAAACTGCACTGGAGTCTGGATGTGACCATGATGGAACCACAGCGAACATTTCTTTAAGCTTGGTTTGTATTTCTACAAAAGAATCCAAGCCTCATGTATCCCCCTGAAATTACTTAAATTAAAAGGGATTCAGGTATTCTACATCCTAGCCTTGCTCTTTTTATATTCTAAATAAATGCCCTAGTTGTCATTCTTAAGCATAAATTATCCTTAGTCTCCTTAACAAAGGTGCCACTCAATAATGAAAGCAAACCAGACTCATAAAGCTGTACTAACTTAACACTTTTTTAACAAAAGAAATGGCAAAGCAGTATCATAGCAGTCACTAATAAGGAATTTGACAGAATTTATATGTGGATCTACTGATACCTCTCTGGGTGATTTACAATAAATCAGCAAAGGTTTTCCATTTACAATAATTAATCCACAAATAAAAACAGACTGATAGCATAAGAAACAGAACTTTCCTATAGGGGACACCCTGCCTTTAAATTAGAGAAGTCTTATTTGACATTTGGTTGAAGCAATGCAGGTTGCTGCCTTCCTTGAATCAAACTGATGGCTTGTATATTTCAAAGCAGTTTTCTAATGCATTTTTTCCTGCATCTGCTGTGTAGTGGTGGTGGTGGTGGAGGAGGAGGAGGGGGGGGAAGAGGAGGAAGAGGTTCTGAGATTTTGCTCCATGAGGAGTTGACACAAAGGTATGGCTGCTAAATATCATGAAAATTGTATGCATTTACCTATGTGTTATTCCCATTTATATATAAAGCATTGTCACCAAGACAGCTTCCTACAGAAGATCATATAATGAGTGAGTAGTAAAAATAAGATCTCAGCCCAGCTTCACAAACCCAGATTCAACTCCCTTCTCTTGACGGCTGGCTAAACTGGCTAAGAATTTGGGGGGGGGGGATTAGGTTCATTTTTTAAAAACTACATTCATCTAATTCATATCGCCAAATAGATCAATGAATGATGCAACAAGAGCTTCTGGCTTGTCACAGAGCCTTACCCTAATTTTTGCTGAGATGTAGTCAT